TAATCTTTTAGGCTATACTAATGTATAAAATAACCTGCAAACACATACAAATTTTTCTTTCCAATGTTATACTAATGAATTGTTATGTAGTTAATTAATAACTTAATATCACACATACATATAAAATAATAAGTAGTTCTCAAAATATTTTTATTTTTATCATCAGCGGTAGGGCATTTTCCTTGCACGCAGCCAGCCCAGCTGAGCCAGGTTCGATTCCTCCACCCCTCTTGGAGAGCCCAGCAAGCTACCAAGAGTATCTCACCTGCACGGCAAAGCCTGGCAAGCTACCTGTGACGTATTGGATATGCCAAACACTGTAACAATAAGTCTCACAATGGAGACCTTACTGGGCCCACTCAAACAAATCAATGAACAACCGGAGGACAGTGCTACAGTGCTGAAAAACCACAAAAAGATATTTTAGTATAAATTAATATCACACATAACTTTTGGACAAATTATAATCTTAAGAAGACAAGTATGAGATATACAAATATTCTCAAAATATTCTCAAGCATGAAAACAGACCCCAGAATCCAATGAAAAATCCAGGTACGTGGGACCAGTAACTGAAAACTCTAGGCCTCAAGGAATTGGGCATGGGTTGCTCCTTCCCATCTCCCCACCCCTTCAGGTCCCTGGCTGTCACACCTACGAATTGCCTCCGGGTTCCATTTAAGCGCATGAATGGCCATGATGCAGAGATTCAGAAATAAATCACTGAACCAATCAGATCACTGCAGAGACATCTCCAGACCCCAATTATTTAAAATTTTAGAATTCCATGAGCACATCTCATGCTATTCATAACAAATTATCTAGCATCGATCTGTGGGGCAGGCTTGAATGGTAGTGGGAAAATTCGAAATAATCATGGTGGGAAAGTGTAATGGCGGTGGGATTGTTGTTGAAATATTGAATATAATTAATCATTGTGAAAAACTATGAAAAATAAAATTATTTTTAAAAGAGTAAAAACAAACCTAATCTGGAGGGAAATAACATATCCTCGTTTTAGACCTTCCGGTTGTCAGTCAGAAAATAGAAGTTAAATAATAATCAGAAAACTTAAAGTGTTTACGGGAAGTAGGTAAGAGTAATGTAAGTAGACTAATATAGGGAACAGATGATGGAAAATAGACAAAAAATATTTTTAAAACTCCAGAAGAATAAGAAGATATGAACTGTGCCAAAAGTAATAAATAACCTGAGTCCCTCAGAATAACATCTTGCAGAGACAATGTGTGAAGTGTACTTTCATTCACAACAGGATAAACATAGTAACTTGGGAAATTAACTGATAATTAAGTACCAGCTAACACAGCGGGTAGGGCATTTGCCTTGCACGCGACAACTTGGGTTCGATTCCTTCGCCCCTTGGAGAGCCCAGCAAGCTACCGAGAGTATCTCTCCTGCATGCCAAAGCCTGGCAAGCTACCCATGATGAATTCGATATGCCTACAACAGTAACAAGTCACACAATTTGTTGTGAGATGTTACTGGTGCCCACTTGATAATTAAGTACCAGCTATCTGAAGTGCTTATTGATATAATAGCACAATTTATTGTTTACTATAAAACACTGGGTTTGTTTTACATCTATCTCTCATTACAAGAAAGGAAGTTTAGATAGTTTGACAACATGGTAATGAATTCTCAGGCTATGTAGTAAAATTTTGCATGTGCTGTGAATTCAGTCCTCCATATCTGATATCCAATTCTATTTATATCAACTTCATATATTGTAGCTTTATCAATTTCTTTGTTTTAAAGTTATAAGGACACACCAATGACAATGTGAATATTTCTGAATTTAATGGTAAGAGAGAAATCTATAAATTTTATTTGAGTGGCTTTATCCATCAGTACTCAGGGCCAATGCCCACTTTGGTGCCAAGCTTGATGCTCAAGAGTAATTTTCCCCAAGGTCAGAAACAATTGGGCAGCAGATAGGGTAATTGCTTTGCACCCAGCTGATCCCAACTCAATCCCCATAATCCCATAGTCACCCAAGACCACCAGGAATGATCACTAAGCACAGACCCAGGAAAGCCCTGAGCACCACTGGGTATGGTTCCCAAACCAAAATAAATTACCCTTTTCTATATTTGGGGGGAGCCAAAGCGATAGCACAGCGGGTAGGGCATTTGCCTTGCACGCGACAACTTGGGTTCGATTCCTTCGCCCCTTGGAGAGCCCAGCAAGCTACCGAGAGTATCTCTCCTGCATGCCAAAGCCTGGCAAGCTACCCATGATGAATTCGATATGCCTACAACAGTAACAAGTCACACAATTTGTTGTGAGATGTTACTGGTGCCCACTTGAGCAAATCGATGAATAATGGGAGGACAGTGCTAACAGTTCTAATACTTGGGGGGTGGGGATCAAACCCCCACCACTTAAATGCAAACCACATGTCCCAGCCAGCCCTTTGGGTCATCCCCATGATCCCAACAGAAAAATATTTCTAGATGAATTTTCTATTTACTCCAATGTTTGCAAACACATTTAAAATTTTATCAGGTGTCAATACCTATGTACTTATAAATATATAATAGTATTCTTGATTTTATTTTTCCTTCCTAGCCATAGTTTTTAATGATTCAAGTGAAAATTATAAAACCTAAAGTTTCAATTATTCATTAACTCTACTATGTACAGTATCAATTTTTTCTCCAAATGGGGAAACATGGGGATTATCCTCATTTGTAAGTGATAGAACTGAAAGACATTTGCAACCTCACATTTGCAACTTTCTCACAAGTGAAAAAAATCAATGCCAATTTTTTTATTGTTTCTACAGTTAAAGACGAAGTTTCCTCTATCTCAGTCTACCATATCCATACCATGTACAGAAAGCACTTAAGAATAGCTGCAACATTTTGTGATTTGTCATTAACTCTATTCAAATAAACTTGAATGTTTTAATTACTCCCATTGAAGTTTGAATATCTGATTATTCCCCTAGCAGCAGATGGTCTTTTTATGCCATGTAATGCACCAAAGCTCTTCATATCAGTATAGACATTATAAATACAGATTCCAAGAAATGTAAGCTGAAACTCCTTTATCCAGAAATTAGGCTTAGGTTTGATATGAGCAGTTGTCTATGTTCTCAGGAACTAGATGATTTGTGAACCATAAATAATGTGAAAAAGAGAACCTAAAATCATATCACTCGACCTGTTCACAGAATCAGAAGCACCAGAGGATTCAGTAAATTATCCAACATCTCTATCCTACACAGAATTTGAGTCCACTATTTCTGAATTCCTGGTCATTGTTCCTGCTCATCTATTTAAGCAACAGCTGTGCTGGAGATACCAATTTTAATACCAGGTATGTGGGGACCGAAACAAATATGAAACTTTCTGCAAAGGGAACAGAGAGATGACTCAGTCTAGGTACACACCTTCTGTGCACAAACCCAGATTCAGTTCCCCCAATGCATGCACCCCAGCACTTCCAGGAGTTTCCCCTGGTGGAGCCAACAACTCTGGCCAAGCAGTGCTGTAGGGATGGACACTCCCTTGATTTGTTGAGCCTGTCTAACTGAGTATAGCAGGGAATGGCTCCCAGAAACCCAAAGCCATGATTGGGAGCTCTCTGCTCTACCCTAGTTTCTAGACTGTATAGATTAAAGGACAGCGTAAAGTTTTTAAAACAAAAAGAAGATAGATAAATTTGTAAATTAGGTGTGGTCCTAAAAAATTTAGACTATACATTTACAGCAGAATTTTGAGAAAAGAAAAATAGCAAAAGAGAGGAAAGAAAAGCTTGGTTTCATGACAAGAAACAAGTTTATGTCATATGTTTTAGATACACACAATTTCAATAGACTTTTGTGAATTTTGTAAAGTTTGTTCAGCTCTCAGTGAGAGGTAGTTCCCAACGAATCTAGTTTCAATTTTTGAGGAAAGTTATATTACATAACTTCTAGATCCATCACTATCCTTTGTCTCTATAAAAACATTTCTCCTACTTGTTCAAGTAAACTTTGGAGACAAGAAGAGTTTTTAGTTAAGAATATTTTGGTGAATAAAATTCAGCAGTTAAAAAAATTTTTGGCTTCAAGCAGCAAAATATTTAACAGTGTCTTTCCATTAAATTATTTTTGAAAATGTGTGACACTTTCTATCTCTAACATCATTTTGCCATTCTTTGAAAAGCAGTGCTTGTCTTTAGTGGTAAAGAATAGATCGTTCACATCTGTGTCTTGCCCTCCTGTTGTTCATCAATTTGCTCAAGCAGGCCCAGTAACGTCTCCATTTTGAGACTTGTTACTGTGTTTGGCATGTTGACAAACATGCTCTTCCACAGGAGCGGAGGAATCGAACCCGGCTAGGCCGGGCTGGCTGTGCGTAAGGCAAACGCCCTACTGCTGTGCTATCACTCCAGCCCATCTATGTAATTGAAATAAATAAGACACTAATTCATTTTTACTGTGATCAATCTCCATAGAAAATGGAAACAGATTGTTTTGGAGGTATTTTTTTTTGCTTTGTAGCCAATGTCTTTCCCTTAAGTTCTCTTCTTGTATCCACCACCTTTAATAGAGAAGTATTTCTTTCCAATAACATAATATATATACATATATATAATGTATGTATGCACTAACAATCATTCAAAATTCTCAAACATTATTTACTCCAGTGTTTTCACCAGGATGTTTTGGAAAAGGTTACTCTTCAAAAATTGTTGGCAATACTCTGTGATTTTCTTTTAGCTATTTCACAAATATCTGGATTATTACTTAATTTTATGAAGATTTGTACCTTACTTATAAGCAAGTTGCTAAGTCATAATAATATTAAATTGAATCAGTTAACAAATCTAGAAAGTCCTTGGGAGAAATATTTAGCCACTATTAACAGGAAAATGGTAATGTAACAGGAAACTATTTAGTGGTGGTAGGCTTCCACTGAAATGTTTTATTTAGAAATCACTTTAAATTTAACCATCTTTTTCCTAGTTCTCTCATCTTGGACCTGGAGTAAATGGCCTGGAACAATCAGTCAGTGGTAAGGGAATTTATACTGCAGGGTCTCTCCAGTTCTTGGGAACTCCAAATATTCTATTTCCTGTTTTTCTCTGCGGTCTATGCAGCTACTGTTCTGGGGAATCTCCTTATTGTGCTCACCATTATGTCAGAGCCCCGTCTTCACACCCCCATGTACTTTCTGCTGGGCAATCTCTCCTTCATTGACATGTCTCTAGCCTCATTTGCCACCCCCAAAATGATTGCAGACTTCCTCAGCGAGCACAAAGCCATCTCTTTTGAAGGTTGCATTACCCAGATATTCTTCCTGCATCTCTTAGGGGGTGTTGAAATTGTGCTGCTCATATCCATGTCTTTTGATAGGTATGTTGCTATCTGTAAACCTCTACGTTACTTAACCATTATGAGTCACAAAACGTGCATTGGACTTGTGGCACTTTCCTGGATTGTTGGCATCTTCCATGCTATGAGTCAGTTAGCATTTACTGTGAATTTGCCCTTCTGTGGACCCAATAAAGTGGACAGTTTCTTTTGTGACCTCCCTTTGGTAATTAAGCTTGCGTGTGTAGACACATATATTCTGGGAGTGTTCATGATCTCAACCAGTGGCTTGATTGCTCTGGTGTGCTTCATCCTCTTGGTGATATCTTACACCATCATCCTGGTGACAGTCAGACAACGTTCATCTGGTGGTTCCTCCAAAGCCCTCTCCACTTGCAGTGCCCATTTCACTGTTGTAACCCTTTTCTTTGGCCCCTGCATTTTCATTTATGTGTGGCCTTTCACAAATTTCCCAATAGACAAAGTGCTCTCAGTATTTTATACCATTTTCACTCCCCTCTTGAACCCAGTAATCTACACCCTTAGAAATAAAGACGTTAAGAATTCCATGAGGAAACTCAGTAACCGTATATTTAAGTCAAGGAAGACTGATCATACACCTCCTAATTTTCCTATAGAAAAATGAAATAGTTGTTCAGTATTTTAGCACTTATTTCCCTCACTCAGTTGGTCATAGTGTTGCTATTGAGGAAAATCAATTTATTTATGGGAGAACAGTTTCTGTATTAAGACTCAGTATTCACTGAGTTTTAGTTATATTAATTGTTTCTCATGAAACGATATTTACTATAGAGCATTATCAAACCTATGATTAACACTTTACTTTCATATACAATTTTTTGAATGTCAGCATTTCCCTAGTATTCTTACCTTGAGATACAAATTTTAAGAAAATGTAGTTTCCCTCCAGTATCTTTTCTTTATTAAACAGGGAACCATCACCAAAAAGTATAGTGCCCACTAAAGTAATAATGGAATTTTCAATTGTTTACAAAGGTGTTCATGGATGAACTTATTTGAACTTACTACAGTTCAAACATAACCAAAAAAGTGGAGAATTCTTGATAAGTAAAAATATTTGCTATTTAACTTCTTTATAAGTTATCTTTGAAAAGAACAGGAGTTTGTACCTAACATATCTTTTGTTTGTCCCGAGGTTTTCTAGAGTAGCACTGTAGTACTGTCCTCCCATTGTTCATCATTTTGCTCGAGCAGGCACCAGTAACATCTCACAATAAATTGTGAGACTTGTTGTTACTGTTTCTGGCATATCGACTACATCATGGGGAGCTTGCCAGGCTTTGCCGGGTGGGCAAGATACTCTCGGTAGCTTGCTGGGCTCTCCAAGAGAGGCGGAGGAATCAAACCCAGGTGCTGTGTGCAAGGTAAATGCCCTACCCACTATGCTATCGCTCCAGCCCTTTCTAGAGTAAATTTAAAATTTTTTAAATAAACAGTAAACTCCAGAAAAGTTTCTGTACATACATATATATATAATATTCAAAGAAACTTCAGAGATATGTACAATAATCCCATCTACAAACCCTCTACAGAAGATGAAACTAAAACCCATAGTAGCTTTTTCAAGGTTATACTCACTAGAAGAATCCTGGGCATTCACCTACCAATATTGCTATTTACTTATTTTCTAATCATTAACAAGTTTTTGAATTGCCATGTTTGCTGTGTCGTATCTGCAGTCAAAAACCATATTAAAAATAGTTTATAAAAGATGTATGTCTTTTTCTCTCTGGTAAAATGCAGTATTTACTTAAAGAATCCAGGAAACTGGCATTTCACTAGATTTGATAGAACTAATATCAAACGTTTTAGAATACAGAAAATTAGAATATAGAAAATTGTTTAAATGATGAGACTGAGAACCAGAAAATAAAGTGCCTCTCCCAAAGTTATGCATCTGAATAACAGAGTCTCGCCTAAAAGATATCTCTTTCTCTCCAATTCCAAGCCAGTCAAATAAGGGCTAGATAATGTTTAAAAACATTTTAGTCATTATTACTCGGAGTTTATCATGGGGGAAGTGCTTTATGTATAAGTGAAATAAGATGACTTATTTTGAATAATAATTCAATTGCCTGACAATGTCAATGTTTGTGTAATATTATGTATAATACTGTAATAACCTGGGCTTGTAATAGACAAATGTAGATTAGTGATAGACAGTAGGTCAATTATTAATAAATAGGTTACATAGAATAGTAAAAAAGGTGAATGGGCCAAAAAATAAGTGGGTAAATGTGTGAATAAGAGGTAGAGATAAATGGCAAAATTGTGCTTGATGGACATACAGAAAATAGATCAAACAGATACATAAAGAAATGAATTTCAAGTACAATATAGTGACTCAGTATGCTTTTATGTACATAACTTAAATCTGTACAACTATAAGTTCTAACTATGCTGTTGTTTTAAAGCCATAAAATTATTAAATTTGGCAGAATTGAAAGTTATATTCTTAAGTATATGTGGTGTGATAAAAATCAGCCACTTTTACGAATGTGCCTAATGTCACTGGGTGCTCTACTAATGAATTTGAAGGGGGGATGGCTTATGACTATTATAAATCTGTCTCTTGCCTTCACAGTACTGTTATGTCATGTCTGCAAGTTAAATTGCTCAAATTTCATTACAATAAAAAGCATATGATTGGCTCATCACACTAAGAAATGCTGCGCTATTATTTTCTGTTATGATTTTTTTCTTCCAGTTTAGCATAGTGATGTAAACGTATAAAATTATAGCCAAATAAGTATCCTGGGTTCCATTATATGGAAGTTCACTTGTGTTCTAAAATTAGATTCCAAATATTAGGAATGGAATATGAGGAAGTATAAAGACAAACTATAAATAGTTGGCATAAACACTAATCCAAATAAAAGTCAGTGAAGGACTTGCACAATTCCTTTACTATTTATTTATTTTCTTGCTTGTTTTTTATTTGTAGGCCACACCCAGAGATGCTCAGGGCTTACTCTAGGCACTGAACTCCAGGATCACTCCTGCAGTCTTTGGGGGCCACTTGGGATGCAGGGAATGTAATTTGGATCAGACTAGCACCTTACCCACTGTACTATCTCTCCAACCCCTGATCTTTTATCTTTCTTACCAGTGTGGAGTCTAGTACTTTATTACTAACACTGATTCAAAAACACTTCACAGTGAAAATAAATTTCACAAAGTTTTGGAAATACTAAACCTAAGTTCGTTTTGTTTTCTTCACTTCCAAGAGTCATTAGCCTCATTGAAACTTTCTATAGTGTAGTTCCATATAGTAACTTAATTTCTTCTTTTCTTCTTCTTTTATACTTCCTTATCTCCATTAAACTCCTTGAGCTATAACTATTTCAAATGTTGCTCTCTAATTGCAATGTAAAATTGAAACCTGCAGTAAATGTAAAATGCAAAATCATTATATTATTCAAAGAGTAAATGTTATCACATAAAATAAAATTAATATTTGCCTACCAAAATATCTTACTCATTTGTGATCTACAGGGAGACAGAATAAAGAACTAGATAATATTGAACAATGACAGTTCCTTACCCTTGTGAAAAAATACAGAGATTATTATACAGAAGCAAGAAAGCAGACTACAAAGTAACATGAGACATTGATAATGGAGAGTAGTAGGCACTTTTATGGTGGTGAGGTACAGTAAATGTGTACATCAAAACCACAAACAAAACACTTCTTTAAATATGATCCCTAAACTACAATAATGGAGGAGAGGGATTGCACACCCTCTCTTGAGGCCTGCTCAAAGAAAGTTGAGGATAACCTGCACAGTGGTCATTGATTTGATAATGGAGCTGAAATGCCACTTTATTGTCAAAAAATGATAAAGTCACCATTCAGTTAAAAAACTAACTACAGCTGCATCACCCCATTCAAAAAATTTTAAATTCTGCTGGACATCTCAAACTCTACACCACTGAGAAACCAAGAGTAGCACACCACATTGGATGTGATGTGAAGTAGAAGGCGACCAATTTCTATTAAGAAAATGTAAACACACAAGTTTAACCTGTAACATGTTGATGATATCTTCTATAAGGGCTTGACGGCTTCATGGTTAGATACAACAATATTCACACACTTTCTTCCAAAGAAATATCTTTTGATCATTTTTAGAGAATTAATAACAAACAATATAAATTAAATTATTCAGTTCTGCTATGGGGGCAGGCTTGAGGGGTGGTTGGGAAAATTGGAAATAATGGTGATGAGAAGGTGCAATTCCAACACCAAGGTGGGATTGGTGTTGGAATACACCAATGTAATAAATGAACGTAATCAATATAATAAATTTACTTTATTTATAAAATAAATGTGAATGTAATAAATCATAAACAATTTTATAAAAATAAATTTTTAAAAAATTTTCCTTGGGGGAGAGGGGGCAGGAAAATGACAAAGGATTGGTTTGACATTCCACACTTTTTAAAATCAGTTTTGTCTGTCTCAGTTTTTCCATAAAACCTGTCTAGAAAATGACATTTTCACTTTGTTTTTTTTAAAATAAATCAATGGTTTAATAATCATCCTGAAAAGTTTTAGACATATGGTTCTATTACTTCATTCCTGAATATCCCACCCTTGCTCAGAAGTATCCTTTAATTATTTTATTGACCTTACTTTACTTTTTCTGTTAATATTTTCTGCAATATATTTATATTTAATTACATTTTTATGTCCATACAGCTTTATGTTGACATTGATACCTCAGCATTAAGTTTATCTTTTAGGTAATTAGTATTTTGAAAATATAGAATTTGCCTTTGCTATTTTTTTTTTGCTAATTTGTTTGTATTCAGCCAAACAGAACTTGGCTCAGGACATAGAAGTACAGTGCTGGGGGTGAAGTGATAGCACAGCGGGTAGGGCGTTTGCTTTGCACGCGGCCAACCCGGGTTCAAATTCCAGCATCCCATATGGTCCCCTGAGCGCTGCCAGGAGTAATTCCTGAGTGCAGAGCCAAGAATAACCCCAAAAAGCAGAAAAAACATTACAATGCCCTCCCCTTATCCACAAGACCCCAGTGGATGCTTAAAATAATCAACAGCCTCAAATTCAATGTATACAATTTTTCTATACATACATACATGTGGCAAAGTTTAATTAGGCACAATAAGAGTCTAAAGGGAATAACAACATAGTTGCAATATACTTTAGTAAAAATTATGTGAATTGGGCTTCTCTTTCTTTTTCTCTTTCTTTCTCTCTCTTTATCTCTCTCTTTCTCTCTCTCTCTTTCTCCCTCCCTCCCTCAACATATCTAATTTACCTACTATTTGTGGACTATTGGTTGACCACAGTAACTAAAAGCTAAGCTATTGATAAAGGATTTCTGTAGTAATTTGTAGTAATTTTAAAAATAAAAGTATTTTTCTGAATAAATGCTTTGTTAATATCCCACTAAACATGTAAATGTTGAGGTGGAAAGAATTTTAGAGATCAGTATATGGCCCCACAAAATTATCCTTGGGACTTGAATACAACTTGTATACAGCTCTGATATGACAAGATACTGAGTGCTCTTCAAGCTCTCATAGTTTAGCATGGAAGACTTTTGATTTTCAATTTATTGTGTAACATGGTAGGTTAAATAAATACTTTCTTTAAAATAAGAGGATTTGGGGTCTGGAGCGATAGCACAGCAGGTAGGGAGTTTGCCTTGCATGCAGCTGATCTGGGTTCAATTCCCAGCATCCCATATGGTCCCCAGAGCACTGCCAAGAGTATTCCTGAGTGCAGAGCCAGGAGTAACCCCTGTGCACCACCGGGTGTGACCCAAAAAGAAAAAAAAAGAGAGGATTTTAAAAAGCCTTCATCTGAGGAAAGTGACTGTGATTTTATAGCCCTCGTGTTCATACTTTTCCCTAAGACCCAGAAGATCTATTTTCCACAATTTTTGGTCTTCGGGATTTTTATTTTAACATATATCAATATATTTTCTAATTTTTGTTGTCTTTTTTGATCCAATTATTAAACATGACTATGTTTTCTAGTAAAGGCATATATTTGAATTTTCCATGTTTCTTTCTGATTAATTTCTAGGTTCATTTCATTGAGATTATAAAAATTATGTCTGTATTCACTCTTTACAATAGCCAGAAACTGGAAGAAACCTGAATGCCCAATAACAAATGACTGGTTAAAGAAACTTTGGTACATTTACACAATGGAGTACTATGTAGCTGTTAGAAAAGATGAAGTCATGAAATTTACATACAAGTGGTACAATATGGAAAGTATCATGCTAAGCGAAATGAGTCAGAAAGAGAGGGATAGACATAGAAAGATTGCATTCATCTGGGGGATATAAAGTAACAAAGTATGAGATTAATACCCAAGAATAGCTGAGATCAGCACCAGGAGGATTACTCCATAACTTAGAGGCCAGCCGGGTATCCTAGAGGAAAGGGCAGTTCAGATAGAGGAGGGAGCACCAAATAAAGGATGTTTGGAGGATCCTCCCAGGAGGGGAGATGCATGTCGAAAGTAGACTATGGACTGAACATGTTTGCCACTCAATGCCTCTTTTGCAGACCACAACACCCAAACGGAGAGAGAGAACACAGGGGATTGCCCTGCCACAGAGGCGGGGGGGGGGGGTGGGGGGATGGGGGTGGGAGGGATATTATCCATGGTGGTGAAAAACGGGCACTGGTGGAGGGATGGGTATCTGATCATTGTATAATTGAAACCCAAGCACAAAAAATTGTAAATCTACAACTGTAAAAAATAAAAATAAAAAAATAAAAAAATAAAAAAAAATTATGTCTGTATTGACTATAATCTTCTCAAATTTGTAGTGATTTATTTTGTGACCTGGAATTTGATCTTTCTTGAGAAATTCATGTGCATGGCAAGAATATTCCTTCTACTGTTGGGTGAAATGCTCTGTACACATCTGTTATGTTGATTTGGTTCATAACATTGTCTACACCTGCTTTTTATCCCTTACTGACAGTCTGAACCATCTGTTAATTATTGTAAATGCGGTATTGAAGTCTCTTACTATATTGTTGTCGACTTCTCCTTTCATATAAAATATATATATATACTGATATAGTTAAGTGTTCTTATATTGTGTATATTTAAAACATTATAACTTCTGGTTAAATTGAACTTTTATAATTATGTGATGATTTTTATTTCTTGTGATATGTTGTTGATTTGTTTTGTTCTGTTACCATACACAATAGTGTTCATGGGTTATGTCAGACTTTTGCTCAGGCTTTGCCTCTGGTAGCACTTTGAGGTCAATGCAGTGCCAGAGTTTGAATCCAGTCTTCCCACATGCAAAACATACTCCTAGCCTTTGAACTATCTTTTGACTCTGGAGACAATTATCATTAAAGCTGATATCATTTTCAATAAAATAGTTATCATTAAAGCGTCGTTCAGCTGTGAGTTTTCACAATACCACAAGATACAAAGAAGAGGAAGGGTAGAATGAAAGGTTTGCTGTGGTGGGCCCGCAGGCCTGCACACAAGTAGGGCCCGGAGGTGACGTTCGGTGGCCGGGAACGACCTCCTCAGGCTCTTCCCAACGACGACAGGTGAAGGATGGAAGACAGGCAGACTCTCCAGTGTCATTCGATCTCTCTCTTTCACAAACATAGTCGTTGTCATGGCCATAGTCTTGGTCATCAGAGTTCCACCTCCAAGTCTCCTCGCAGACCTCAAAGTCTCCAAAGTCTCAGTTTTCCTCTTCCTCTTCAGTATCTCATCATGGACCTTCTCATCCTCAACATCTAGTCTTCAGGATCTAGTCTTCACTCTAAGTCCTCATTCAGTGTCTTTTCTATCCCCAAGTCTTTGTCTTCCCCTTCAGTCTCCTGCCTCTATCCTCCTCAGTCTCTGTCTCTGTCTCTGTCTCTGTCTCTCTTCTGGTCTCTAGTCTGCTGCCGTTGTCTTCCATTGTCTTTTTCTTTTTAGTCTCTTGGCTCTATCTTCCTCTGCCATTGTCTTCTTCTTCTCAGTTTTTATTCTCTGTCTCCCTAGCACAGCGGGTAGGGCGTTCGCCTTACAAGCAGCCAACATGGCCGACCCAAGCTCCATTCCTCCGCCCCTCTCGGAGAGCCCAGCAAGCTTCCGAGAGTATTTGATATGCCAAACACAGTAACAACAAAGTCTCCAATGGAGACGTTACTGGGCCCGCTCAGCAAATCGGCGATCAACGGGAGGGCCTTTATGTTTACCTTTACCTTTACCTCCCTGTGCAACAAATATATGATGCAAATATGCTATGATCCCTTTTGATTATCATTTGTATAGAAATTTTTTCCATCCTTCACTTTTAACCTGTGTCTTTAAATCTAAATTGGATCTCATAGATAGAGCTCCCTGAGAAACTTTCTCTGACTCATCAAGCATATATAGACATGCCTTTTTCTAAATTCCCATATTTTCATATTATGATGTTATGCAAACAAACAAACATAGCACAGCGGTAGGGCGTTTGCCTTACAAGCGGCCAACATGGCCGACCCGAGCTTGATTCCTCCGCCCCTCTCGGGGAGCCCAGCAAGCTACCGAGAGTATCTTGCCCACACGGCAGAGCCTGACAAGCTACTCGTGATGTATTCGATATGCCAAACACAGTAACAACAAGTCTCATGATGGAGATGTTACTGGGCCCGCTCGAGCAAATCGATGAACAACGGGAGGACCGTGACCGTGACCATGATGTTATGCAAATTTGACTGCGATAAGGTTGGGTCTTTCTCATGTAAGAATTTTTAATTACTATTATTAAACTATTATTTAAATTACTACTTCTTTTTAAATTACTAACTCTAAGAGGTAATTAAAAGTAAAAAAGTAGAATGGCTTCTTTCTAAAGGAAAGAGTCCAGTTTCTTGCACTCATCATTTAAAAAAGACTCAAAAGCACCTCTTAGATCATGGGGCCAGAGCAATAGTACAGTGAGTAGAGTGTTTGCCTTGCATGCAGCCAACCCAGGTTCAATCCCTGGCATCCCATATGGTCCCCTGAGCACCACCAGAAGTAATTACTAAGTTTAGAGCCAGGAGGAATCCCTGAGCATCGCTGGGTGTGACACAAAAATAAATAAATAAATAAATAAATAGCACTGCACTGCACTGTCCTCCCGTTGTTCATCAATTTGCTTGAGCGGGCCCAGTAACGTCTCCATTGTGAGACTTTTTACTGTGTTTGGCATACTGAATATGTCATGGGTAGCTTGCCAGGCTTTGCCATGTGGGCGAGATATTCTCAGTAGCTTGCCAGGCTCTCCTAGAGGAGCGGAGGAATCGAACCTGGCTAATAAATCCTTGTCTGACCTTCTCTCTGGCTTGCCTCGTTAAATAAATAAATAGACTGTCATCTTTAGTCAAGGAGATTGTGTCATATGTATAGAAAAAATTTAGAAAATCCTAGGAGAAATGTGATCTCTCTAGTTCTGAACTGCTTCAGAAGGAGGTCAGTCCTAGTCTCAATAAGGGTATGTTCAGAAGCACTAACTTGAAGAGCCATTCAGTGTATAATAAATTGTAAAAGTAAATTTCTAGAGGAATAATGTGAAGAGAAAAAGAATTAGAGCCTAGGACGAGAGATATCTTTAAAGAGAGAGAGAGAGAGAGAGAGAGAGAGAGAGAGAGAGAGAGACAGAGAGGCAGAGAGACAGAGACAGAGAATCATCAGAGACAGAAAAATAACAGATTTTCATTCTCTAATTAGCCTTACATTCTTACATGGAGATGACTTGTAGAAATATCAGTGTTTCAGAATGATTCAATAAATGCTGTGTCTGTTGAGAATGAGATAATCAAAGGTGGATTATGTCAAAGTGAGGGTTAAAGCTCGGAGAAAAATTTTTTAAATTTAAATTAAATTCTTTTAATTTAAAGAATGAAAAATACATCTTACACATTTTAAGTTCTTTATTAAAGATCACAAACTGATGTGGTAACACTTACAAAGATGAAACAAATAAATAAGATCTAAAACCTAACCTAAAGTCAAAAGAGCTGGCTGGAGTGTTTGTACAGCTGGTAGAGCATTTGCCTTGCATGCGGCCAACCCGGGTTCGATTCCCAGCATCCCATATTGTCCCTTGAGTATCGCCAGGAGTAATTCCTGAGTGTAAAGCCAGGAATAACCCCTGTGCATCGCCGGGTGTGACCCAAAAAGAGAGAAAAATAAAAGTCAAAAGAGCTACAGCTTAAAAGTTCTGTCCCCAGTGTTATATGGTGAGTGTTTGTGTCACATTTGAAAGCAGGAGCTAGGAAGACTGGGAACTCTTCCCCAGGAACCTCTCAACCAAATGTGCTGGCAGTTCAGTATTGGGGATATAACTTTATCAGCCACAGGCATGAACCTTAACCCATGTACCCTCTCTATGGACTTTTGTTTTTGTTTGATTGGGGTGGGAGGTTGGGAGTGGAGAGTGGGCTTGGGGACAGGGTGTTTGGAGGCTATGTCTACGGTTGGAGGTCCTCAGGGCTCATTCCTGGTTTTTCATTCAGGGATGATTCCAGGTATTTAATAAGGTAGATCATGTACATGGCAAATGCCTTATCCTATACTATCTCTTCCGCCCCTTGCTTCAATTTTGAAGGGAATCTATCAGTTTGCATTTTCTTTTGACATGTTAAAGTATCTAACTTTATCTTTAGTTTTACTTCTTTATAAACCATTAAGGAAGATAAGCATGCTTAGAATTCCAGTAGTTGCAGCTTATCTCTTAATTGACTTGTAAACTCAAAGAATAATGAGAAAATTAAGAGAGGTTAGTTATTTGTCTCACCTGAGAGATACTACAGCACGTTAGGCGCTTGTCTTGCAAACAGAGGAAACAGGTTTGATCTTGAGCACCACATATGGTCCTCTGAGTACCACCAGAAATTATCCATGAGCACAGAGCCAGGAATAAATCCTGAGTATTGCCGGATATGCCCTCTCCCAAGATATAAAATAAAATTTTAAAAAGTTTGCCATAAATCACTGTCTGTCACACCGTCCTCCCGTTGTTTATCGATTTGCTCGAGTGGGCCCAGTAACGTCTCCATTTTAAGACTTGTTGTTACTGTGTTTGGAATATTGAAATATGCGGGCAAGATACTCTGAGTAGCTTGCCGGGCTCTCCGAGGGGGCGGAGGAATCGAACCCGGCTCAGCCAGACCGGCTTTGCGCAAGGCAAACGCCCTACCACTGTGCTATCGCTAAAAATCTAACACATTCACATATGTCACACACACACACACATACACATACACGAGACTAGACCTCTGTGGAACTTCAGTGAAACTTAAACTGAAATGCACACAAACACATAAACATATAGGAATATTTTTAAGCTAATTATATAATTATACTGAATACAGTTATCTAAACATGCTATCAGGACATGATTGAAAGATAGTCTGATTCCCCAGGAAGGAACACTACCACCAGAAATGTCCAGATAAAGAATAGATATTTATTCTAAAACTTCAGTTATATTTTAATCAAATAAAATGTCTGACATGATGCTATGATTTTATTTCAATTTAAAAAATCATTAAGCTTTTCAAAAGATAAAGTCTTTATATTTTAATAATGTGGACAGTCTTTCTTCGTATCCTCTTATCCCTGAAACAAATACTAATGTGCTGTACTGTATAGCACTGTCTTCCTGTTGTTCATCTATTTGCTGGAGCGGGCACCAGTAACGTCTCACGAAAAATTGTGAGACTTGTTACTGTTTTTGGCATATCAAATACATCACTGGTAGCTTGCCAGGCTTTGCCTTTCGGGCAAGATACTCTAGGTAGCTTGCTGGGATCTCTGAGAGGGGCAGAGAAATTGAACCTGGGTCAGGCACGTGCAAGGCAAATGCCCTACCCACTGTGCTATCACTCCAGCCCACTAATGTGCTACATATAAATAATATGTAAATTAAACCTTTCACTTCCCAGTTAAAATTTTTAGTAAATTCAAATAAATATATAGCAATTCACATTTCAAAATAATATAGTTATCATTTTAAATGGGTAATGAACAAAATAAACAGAGAATATTTTACCACTCCTTAATCATGTGCACTTTACCTAAAAATATTGCTACTGCAATAAAGCCAGCCCTTACCTATCGAACATTGCAAATATTGTCAATTTTCCTCCTCATCAATTTTGGACTATTTCGATTTATAATTAAAGAGGAGCAGAGATATAGTTTAGGAGGTAAGACACTTACCTTGCATGGGTTTTGTTGGTGGTGATTTATTTTGAATTCCTAGTTTGATTGATTCCTGAGCACCTCCAGGGGTCACTCCTTAGAATAGTGCCAGTAATAAGCCTGAACATTGCTGATGTGACTCCAACTCCCCCCAGTCCCTCCCTTCAAATGAACTCTTAGTGGCAAAATTAATTTGGAATGATCAATAAATAATTTTTTGAATGTGTATGTGTTGCATTTATGGTATGACCTAAATTTTGCAACTGTTTTAGTGGTTTTAATTGAAGTCTAAAACTTCTCAATTTTATCTCTTTGAATCGTCATGGAACTTAGCATGTCAGCTTTCAGAAAAATAAATAATTTTCAAAATACATCATAAAAATAAAATGAGAAATCCTAAAAATACAACATTTCTTTTATATACTATAGGCAAACAGAAGATAACAACAAAAGACAAAAATAATTACAGGCATACATCAATGATTAATAATTGGCACATAGTCAATATTTTTATATTCCCTTACGTTAGGTAAATTGTCACATCCTGTTACAGTATTAAAATCATGCCCTTTATTTTCTAGTAACCACATCTACTTCCATTCCAGTTTTCCAGTTACCCTGTGATTTTGTACATATTTAGTACAACAGCAGCAACACCGTATTTTTGGTTAATATTTATTAAAAACCTTAATGCTTACCAAGCACTGCTAATTATGTTGC